GCCAAAAATTACAACAAATGCCTGTTTTTGTTGAAAATGACATTTTTTGGCCCATTAAGTCGAAAATTTACAAATAAAGGCCCATTTTGATAAAAGTGGCATTATTGACCCATTAAACCGAGAATTTACAAACAAAGGCCCATTTTGATAAGAATGACATTATTGACCCATTAAACCGAGAATTTACAAATAAAGGCCCATTTTAATAAAAATGACATTATTGACCAATTAAAGCCAAAAGTTTCCATAGAAGTCCCATTTTTGTGAAAGTTTGCACTTTTAGCCCATAAAAACGAAATTACTTCCAAAAGTCTATATTGTTTATCTTATTTGTCAAGAAAGGTCCTTTTATGCACATTCTTTGGATTTTCTAGTAACTTGTTATTATGTTTAATCTTTTTAACCTTTTACAAGTTACTTTTATTAGTTTACTTACAAATATAACCCATAATTGGAAGATATTTCGAATCTTATGGCTGTTAAACAAGTTTTGATGACATATTCACAACATATAACATGAAAATACACACATACATGCATAATACTAAGATTAACCACAAAACTAGCTTGTATTCTCCCCCAAAAGATAGTAAAACTTGAAAACAATGGGGTATGAAGCTCACCTTGTTGATAGATCAAGTTTGATGAAGAATGAAAGAGAATGAAGGTGTTTTCGGCCTTGGATGCTTCTTTGAGATGAGTTTTCGAATCCTAGAGAGTTCTAAGAGTATGATCACGAAAACAAAGTGTTTATTAGGAATGATATAGCATTAAATGGAATAAATTAACTTGAGTTTATATGATATTACAAAAAATGTGAAGCTTGAAGTGATCTTCTTGAAAGCATATACACAAACTCACAAATTTTGAAGAGGGACAAGAGGGTTCTTGATGTTCTTAGAGAGATAAAGAGTTGAGAGGATTTTATGATTGAAAAATGGATGAAGTAAGGAGGGGTGTGGGGATCTTTGGATGAGTTTAAGGGGAGGAGAATGGAGGTATGGTGGTTTTTTTATGAGGGTTATAAGTTAGATGCATGGAGATATGATAAACAATAACACTGTTATTTGATGGTTATTAGTGAGGTGTCACTTTAATAATCACCATCTTTTCATTTTTTTATTATAACTGAGGATAGGAGAGGGAATGGAATGAAGAGAGTATTAGGCTTGAATTGGGTATATAAAAGTCGAGAATATGTTGGCCCAATAAAGATTTTCGGCCCAAGGAGGCCCAATATGGGTTTTCAGTCCATGAATGCTAAATAAATGGGTTTTCGGCCCATTGCATTAAAAAAAATGGTTTTCAGACCACTAAGGCCCATGAAGAGTCTTATGGCCTAAAATACTATTGCTTAATGAATTTCAGCCCAATTAGGGCCTAAACAAGGGTTCTTGGCCCAAAAGAACCAAGTTGATGGGTTACTGGCCCATTGGGCCAAATAAATGAATCTTGTTCCAATAAGAGGTTTGAACCGGGAAGTTAGGGTTACAAGCCCAAAGTTGAGTGAATGTGGTGTATTGAATTAGGTTTAGAGCTTGGACGAGTGAGTTTTGATTCGAATTGTCATTTTTGAAAGAATAACATGTGCCTCACATATTAGAATATGTGTAATATTCTAATATTCTAAAACAATAAATTTAACATATTTTATATTGAAATATTCTAAAACATATAATGTTAGAATATATTGCAAATACTAATAGAATATTGGAATATTTCACTAAAAAAATATAGTCTCATGGTATCAAAAAATTATGTTCGTCTCAAATTAACTCTTATATATATATATATATATATATATATATATATATATATATATATATATATATATATAGCTAGGTTCATATCTGACGATCTAATTTTGAGAGACCGTAAGACCAATTTTTTCTAGTAAAATATTCTAATATTCTAGTGTTTATACAAATTAAATATGTATAATATTCTAATATTCTAAGCCAAAAATTTTAACATAATTTCCATTGAAATATTCTAAAACATATAATGTTAGAATATATTGCATATTTTATTTTTACGAATAATAGAATATTTCACTAAAAAATTTAGTCTAATGGTCTCACAAAATTATACTCGCCTCAAATGAACTCTTACACACACACACACACACACACACACACACACACACACACACACACACACACACACACACACACACATATATATATATATATATATATATATATATATATATATACCGGGCCGACGGAACAGATCATATTCATTTATGAATATGTATAAATAAATGTATTCAGATATGAACAAGTATAACGAAAGTGATTATTTATATATGAATAAGTATAACTAAAGGATTTCTAGCCCAGTGGTATCCGGTGTTGCCCTCCCTACTTGAGGTCGAGGGTTCAAGTCCCGTGAAGAACATATGTGGAGAATTAAGAGTAGTATAGGAGTAGGATAGATTTGTTGTTCAAAAAAAAAAAAAAAAAGATTATTTATATATGAATATGGAGACGGTAGGTAGTGGTTGGTTGTGGAGGTAATGATGGTGGTGGAGGTGGCGGTGGTGGTTGGTGGTGGAGGAAAGATGGTGTATTCATATATTAATATTACTTATCATCCGTCGGCCGGGTACACCGTACCGTTTTGCAGAAAAAGTAAATAATTGGCTCAGAAGGATTTCTCAATTCTCAATTTTATTTATTTGTCAATTGAAATTACCTCTCTCTCTTTCTCTCTCTCTCTCTATATATATATATATATATATATATATATATATATATATATATATATATATATATATATATATATATATATATATATATATATATATAATCATTTGATTTTAACTTTTAACTTTTATCTTAAATCATCTTATAATTCTATTATAAAAGTAAAAATAAAATGTAAATAGAATAACATATGAAATGAAAGAAAATACCATGAAATCATTACGAAAGGGAATATGGGCAAGAAACGACAGCTCCCTTCTCTTTGATAAAATTTTAAAATACTGTTATTATTATAAATATAAAAAAAAGTGATATTTATATGTGAATTGAAAAAGGAATCAAAAGAGGATGATGTCGGTTGATGGGTGCACCCCACCACCGGATGTTTGAGCACTCCGGTCTCCGGGGAGAATATCAATTCCTGTAAGTAATTGCTTTTAATTTTCCTTCAAATTCAATTAATTAATCCTATTTTATAACCCGATTTCGAGAAATCCTAACATAAGAAAAAATAAACTTATACTCTGTAAACGCGGTTTGTGTAATTTTACTAAATGATTTATGTTTTCAAAACATTAAACATTCTTCAAATATCGTTTTCCGTCAAATCTGTAAAATCCCTCTTTTTTATTTTACAGAATAAAATATGTACATATGGGAATAACGAATAACTTTCAATTATAGTTTTATTCTGTTGGAACGCCTATGTAATAGATTTGGACCACATGGGTTTTTTGTCAATACCATAACTTAAAAAACGGCTTACTTGTTTGTTATTTAATACGATTTAATATCGAGACCTCGTATAAAGTTTTAAATACTCACGTATTTGTAAGACTATGATTGCTTAACATATGTTCTCGTGAGTGTTTTTTTGAGGAGGAAATGAAAGGAAGAAGAAGAAAATTGTGTTCTTGAGTGTTTTTATTTTTTTTTTTTTATTTTTTATTATTTTTAAAGGAGTGAAAGAAAAGAAAAAACAATGTATATTGTTTTGGAGTTTCATTTAAGGAGGAAAATAAAAGGAAAATGAAGCTTTTATCCTTTAAAATCTGTCACCAGAAAAAGAAAAAATGATAGGGAAGGAAAAAGGAAAAAAAAATTTCCCTTCCCTTTCTTTTTATTCTCCTCAATTTTAAATTTGATGATATTTTTTAAAGTACATTACATATATTATGAATATGAATACAATGTGGATATGTCTAATGAATTATTATAATTGCATCAATATAAAATTGCAAAAATGGTCCTTGTGGTATTTTTTTTTTTTGGGTTTTAGTCCAAACCACGATTTTTTTGTATTGGTGGTCCTTTTGATCTAGTTTCGTTGCGTTTTTGGTCCC